GTTCGCGTTTCAAACTAGAGTGTCTCGACAAGGGTTGGGTTTTGAATGAGGGTTTAAAGCCTCGGATAGGGTCAAAAACAAGGGTTAGGGTTTCAAATGATAATTTTTGAGTTTGAGTCAAGGTTTCAAAGTTGGGTTGTAAATCACGGATCGAGTTCGAAGCAATTGTTTGGGGTTGAAATTAAGGTATTAAGCCTTGGGTTTCCAATTCAGGCTTCAAAATAGTGTTTCAGGATTTGCTTGTTTCAAGCAAAGGGTTTAAAAAAGTGGTTCAAGTTTCAAATTAGGGATTTAAAACAGGGTTGGTCTTTTAAATTCGGATTTCAACCCCAGGTTGGGGGTTCAAGCTCAAGTTACAATTTGGGTTCAAACGTGGTTCGTATTTCAAAGTAAAGTTTCAAGCCAGGGTTCCGGTTTTCAAATTGGGGTTTAAAACTGGTTTCAGTGTGAAGGTAGGGTTTCAAGCCAGGGTTACGTTTTCAAATTAGGGTTTAAAAAAAAATGACGGGGCTAGTATTTCCAATTACGGCTACCGTTTGAAAGTTGGCTTTTCAAGAAAGAATTTTGGTCCCAAGCAAAAGCAGCTGTCATATTCTGGTGACATCTCACACCCTTGACGCCATCTGCTTAACGCCTTACTGCTCCCTCAATCTTGGATTTCCACCTGCGCTTTTCACCACGCTGACGATTGATGACTTCTGAGGCTTCCTCAAAGAAATGCGACCTCGGCAGTTGTTTCAAAGACCAGATGTTGATTGTTTTCATCAAATCTGGGGATGAGTGCGATTTCATGTTGTGCAACGGGGGATGAACAGAAATGAATATCACATCTTTTATTGCGGTCATCACAAAGTCAAGGCTTGCTCGGCTGCTCGGAGCGCAATGTTACATAAGCGGTAAGGCTTTCAAACCTGGAATAGCTTTTCAAAGTCGGGTTTCGAAAGAGGGTAGGGATTTCAGAGTAGGATTTCAATTCGAGCTATCATGTCTGGGTTAGGGTTTCAATTCAAGGATTTAAGCAGATTTAAGATTTGCATCCTTCTCGGCTGGGTGCCGTTTTTGTCCTGCATCGCCCGATTCTGTTGACTGAAATTTATGTCAAAGTGCCCTTTTATGAAAATGAGGAGGACACGTCGGCCGTCCACACCCGGTATCTTCTCTCCCCATGTTTGTTGCATTTGGGTGAAGGTTAATCAACGTGAACCCATCTCGATTACGACCGTTCCCAGTATGAGCTGATTTATGGGCTTTGGTCTGTCTTGTGTGCGCGCCGTTCCCCAGTTGTGTTTCTGGGACGGCAAGATCCTCACGCGAAAATCCCTCTCAGGACCATTTAGATCTGAATGTTTCTTTTGGACTCTCCCCACCATCGTGGTGACGTAACAACCTCCAGTGTCTTTTCTTGTTTGCACAAACATAAATCAGAATCAATATCAGGGAAGAAAGAAAACAACTCCCTTGAGGTTCGTTCGGAGGATTTATCTCTCCTCCAAGGGAAAAAAAAAATGTAGTGCGCTGTTTGTTGGTTAGGGGGGGATGCGGTTTCATTTTGCCGTCGAGATAAAGAGAGATGTGAGAGTACAGAGGGCAAAGGTCCTTAGATAGCCTTCAAGTTTGGGGTGGGAGGCGATGATGGATGCGGCTCGGTTGTCTTTTGCGCTCCCCATACATGTCGGGAATACAAAACAGGCCAAAGTTTGGACGCACTTGCATCTGCGATATGAATGAGAACGTGTCTGGAAATTTTTGACCGATGAGAACAAGACTTTAGGGTTTCAAAAGTAGGGTGCCTAGGATGGCTTGAGATTCCCATTTAGGGTTTCGAGACAGTTTTAGTGTTGAAAAAGTCTGAAGTGGGGTTTCAAACAAGGGTTATAATTTCAGATTTGGGTTTGAACCTGCAATTGGGGTTTCAAAACGGGTCTGGATTCGGGTACGAAAGCAGGATTAGTATTTGAAAATGGTGTGAGAGGTTCAAGTTTGGGTTAGGGTTTCAAACTAGGATTAGTATCGGGGTAGTTTCGGGCTTAATTCGGTTACAAACCTGGGTTATGGGTTCAAACTAAGACGAAAGCCAACGTTTCAAAGTAGGGTTTGAAGCCTGGGGTAGGGTTTCAAAATATGGTTTTAAACCAGGTTTAGGCTTTCAAATTAAGGTTTCAAGTAGGATTGGTGTTTCAAAGTAGGGAATTAGATTGGGGTTTGAATTTTAAATTAGGGTTTCAAGAAAAAGAGAAGCATTTCAAATTAGGGTTTCAAGCAATGTTAGTGTTTCAAAGTAGGGCTAGGTTTTCCAAGTAGGGCTTCAAGGCAGGGTTAGGGTTTCAATTCAGCATTGCATCCAAGGTTAGTTTCTTCAAATGATGGTTTCACGACGGGGATTCAATTTGGGGTTTCACAGTCAGGGTTATACTAGTGTTAGGGTTTTTAATTATGGTTTCCAACAGGGTTAGGGTTTCAGGATTTGGTTTCAAATTGGAGTCTGAAGAAAATGTAGGGTTTCAAGACAGGTTACGGTTTTAAATAAGGGTTTCAAGCAAGATTTCAAAGGGTTTCAAAAGACAGGGTTCAGGTTTTCAAGTCAAGATAAGAGTTTTAAGCCTGGGGAACAATTTCAAATTTGGATTTGCAACTAAGTCAAGATTTAAAAGTGGATGAGCTCCCGAACGGGGTGTGTATCCTGCCGAGAAGCCTTCCAACATTATGATGACGACTCCCATCAAATGAAGGTCAAAACACCCCTTGAAGGTCAAGTTGAAATTGACGCCCTGCCAGGAGCGTGAATAACGAGGGCGGGTGGGCAACCTCCCGAAATGTCACCAATCCACCAAATCCAATGATGTTGTCAGGCTATCCTTTTTAATTAGAAGGTGTGACGCCGGACGTGTCAAAGTTCAGGCCCCACACCTCAGCCCGTGCTACCGTTTCACGCCTGTGTGATGGAACATTCCAGTCGCTCATCATTATTAGGTGGGGGGCGGAATTGGGCGCGGGGGGGTGGGGGGGGGATTGGCCGCGGCGAATTTCCTGGAAAAAAACAGAGAGATGGGAAAGCTGAGATAATAGCAGGGCGCAAGTGAAAGTGGAAGGCAGTGCCGATACTTTAGTTAGGGTTTCAAACAGGGAATCTTAAAACATGGATTTAAGACAGGATGTGGATTTCAAATTAAGGTTTCAAGATATCCATCCATCCATCCATCCATTTTCCACACTGCTTTATCCTCACTCGGGTCGTTGGGGGTTGCTGGAGCCTATCCCAGCCGTCTTCGGGCAGAAGGCGGGGGACACCCTGAACCTGTTGCCAGCCAATCGCAGGGCACACAGAGACGAACAACCATCCGCGCTCACACTCACACCGAGGGACAAATTTTAGAGTGTTCAATCAGGCTACCATGCATGGGTTTTGGAATGTGGGAGGAAACTGGAGTACCCGGAGAAAACCCACGCAGACACGGGGAGAACATGCAAACTCCACACAGGAAGGCCGGAGCCGGGATCGAACCTGGTACCTCCTCACTGTGAGGTCGACGCGCTAACCACTCGACACCGGGCCGTCGGTTTCAAGATTTATTAGTTTTAAATTCGGGTTTCAAGACAAGGTTCGGGATTCAAAGCAAGATTTCAAGCGGTGTTGGGGTTTCATAGTTGGGGTTCGAGACAGGTTTGGAACTCCAAGTTAGGGTATCAAGGCAGCGTGTGGTTTGAAGATCAAGTGAGGGTTTGAAGAAGGATTAAGGTTTTACATCTGGTTTCAAAACAGGCTTAGATTTTTAAATTTAGGGTTCCAAGCCGGAGTTTGGGTGGCAAAGTAGGGCTTGTAGCAGTGGTAGGGTTTTAACCCTTTCAGGGACAGCTACAGTGGACAGCTTATCGTGTTATCAGGTTGCAGGGTGCATTAAAGGGTTCAAGTTGGAATTTCAGAATTGAAGACAATGACGTACGAACACGATGATGAGTCATACGGGACCAAAAAATGCGGTTGGTTCAATGAGCAGTGACGATCGTCACTTTGACAATCAACGTTAGTTGTGAGAAAGAAACACAAGGGGAAGTCACGTTCACTTTTTCCCGTCCGTCTCTAACTCGGCACTTCCTTTGTTGTGGGAGATGAAAAGCACATGTTTGAACAATTTCAGTAATGAGAATGAGTATGATTGCGGTTCGCTCTTTGAACACGGCCAACATTCGCTGGCATGCCGGGCTCACTGGGGAACGAATGAATGTGCTCCTGACTCAACCAGGAAATGAATGAAACACACGCTACCAAGGTCATGTTGATTAACACATGGAAGAATTCGCACGAGTCGCCGGCATCCTTGCCAAAACAAAATGAGTTCTTTAATTTACTAGCATTTTTTTTTTAATTTGTCCTTTTAAATTCATTTGCTTTTGTCATTTTTTTTTTTTTATGGATACTCTATTATCTAACCCCAAAACATATTTCGCCATTGACCCGCAGAGCCGTCCTTGATTATTTGTGAAGCTACTGCTTTAAAAGTGCACGCAGGTATTTTTTTTCCCCCATTTGTTCAAGTGTTTATAGATACATCATTTACACTTTTCAAATAATAACAATGACAAGAAAGACTGATAGCAAAAGTTGGCCTCAGGTCGCAACATAAAAACAACAACAATGGGTTTCTTGCTTTGATTAAGGCCCGGTCTCAATAAAAGTAAAAAAAACAAAAACAAATCAAATGTCCGTGGGATTCGATGACTTACTTTGACCCCTTAAAAAAAAAAATGAATGAATGAATTAATTCAATTAAAAGGGCTGATACTGACATTTGACATCTGCTACATTTGGTGACTTCAGGGTAATATTCTAAAAAAAAATAAGAAAATAAAAAATATTGGAATAATCATGAAAAACTCAATGACGATGACTTGCTTTGATCCTAAAATTTGAAAAAGACTGGTTCAGAAAATGGATGGCTGATATTGTGCCTGGCCGCAAAGAAACACACGCCAACATTTGACATCTGCTAGCTTTGGTGTTTTATGGATGCTGTGCTTAAAAAAAAAAAAAAAAAAAAAAATTAAATGTCAGCGGGTTTCTCGGCTCATGGACAAATGGTAACAAAAGCGGCAATGACCAATGCGAAACATGTACGGACATTTGGGATCTTCCACCTTATGTCAGACCTGGTTTAAAAAAAAAAAAAAAAATTGGCATGGAGGATTAGTCATCAAAACGCAACGACAACCATCTGACGTTTACGACAAACCCACGGACATATTTTTATCTGCTCTCCTCATTTTATGAGCTCTATAAATATTTCATTTCAGAACATCCCTGCACTGAGGTAATTGAAAGCACTTGGGATGCATTTTTGGCAAAGGTTTTTTTTTTTTTTTTTCCACTGCAGTTGTGACGGCATCAAGTCTATAGAAGAAGACGCGGCGGACTGGGATAAGACGCGCTCACTCCGTCATGCGCTATGATCCCGTCGGATAGACTGTGCTGCTGTCACTTTAAAAATTGATTCATCGCCAGGCAAACGACTGTGCGCGACACAAACAAAACAAAAATCCCAGAAAATTAGCGCCCGGGGGCTGGAAAGCCCGCACACTTTGAACCAAAGCCATGAGCCCCGGACGGCACGTTAGCCCTGCTGAACACCACATCACACAAATGGTTGACAGGCCCAAAGCTCTGGAGAATGTTTGAATGGGGGGGTTGTGTGTGCATGTGCGTCGCATGAAACACAACAACAGTGGAAACGAAAACAGCAGATGGCATATGAGTGTGTTTAGTTGCGGCGATCTGGTGACGACAGACGCAGAGACCGCTTTAAAAGGAACGTGACGGTCATGTTGAGCGGGGATTTCTTAAACTTTGGGTCCAGGGATGCCTTACAGCGAAGAGATTTTGCACATTGACCAGAGGGTCACAACTCCACAGGAAGCTTCAGTAACAGTTATTTTTCAGAGAGGACAAAGAATATGTTCCAGTGAGTATTGTTATGTTTTCTGTTTACATCTTGAAGGCTGATAATAACGCGATACCGGGAGTTGTCACTAGCCCATCTGTGGCGTTTTGCGTTGTTTGCTAGCATTAAACACGACGGCCTTTCCTAAGGCAAAGTTATATGTGTTCTTCTTTTAGAATGTGTAAATCTTTGTTTTGTTTATTTTGATCGTAAACACCCAAGCGGCACTTTTTCATCAACCTTGAATGGGTGCCTTGTTTTCTTTGGTTCTGCCATTAGTATGCCACCATTAGCTTAGGTAAGCTAATGGCGGACACCGATACTTGTTGCTAGCCCGTCTTTGGCGTTTTACATCGTTTGCTAGCATCAAACACAACAACTTTTCCAAAGGCACTACTATATGTTTTCTGCTTTTCGAGTGTGTAATTCTTTGTTCTGTTTACTTTGATCGTAAACACCCAAGCAGGCACTTTTTCATCAACCTTGAATGGATGCCTTGTTTTCTTTGGTTCCGCCATTAGTTTGCCACCATTAGCTTAGGTAAGCTAATGGCAGACTCCGATACTCGTCGCTAGCCCGTCTTTAGTGTTTTACATTGTTTGCTAGCATTAAACACGGCGGCCTTTCCTAAGGCAAAGCAATGTGTTTTCTTCTTTTCGAGTGTGGAATTCTTTGTTCTGTTTACTTTGATCGTAAACACCCAAGCGGCACTTTTTCATAAACTTTTCATGGATGACTTGTTTTCTTTGGTTCAGCAATATCTTTTGAATTGCGCAAACAAATGAAAGATTGCTTTGTTTTTGACAAGTCATTCAGATCGCAAACAACGGTCACGAGGGGAAGACTCCACCCGACCTAAATCACGGTGAAAGCGAAGCGTCTACGCACTTCCTGCAACACCCCCCCCCCACCCCCGCGCAAAATGAGGTGAAAGTATGCGAGCCTGAGGAGGGGGCGGGGGGGGGGCAGGAACAAGCAGTGCCAGAAACAATAGACTCATAAGGTGATTATTTAGAGCCCGAGCGGTGATGAGACGACCTACGGAGGCTATCGGGGACGGCGCTTCCTGGCACTGCAGCGCCGTTTGATGGCCGGGTAACTGGCAGCTTCCTCTTCCTCCGCCCTTCCTCCTTCCTCCTCCTGACGGCTGACGGCTTCCTTCTCGTGTCTGCTCAAGTTTTTCCAGATTTTCCTGTGGTGGGAAGCAAAGCAGTGAACAAATACACTTTGCTTGTGCTTTTGAGTCGATGTTTCCCCTCTTCCTGAATTCAGAAGACGGTCCAATAGTCCATTGCATGACAAAGGGGAGGGAGCGCTTGAAAAAAACATTTTTATATGCGCTTAAATGTGCGTGTGTTTAGCGTGTATAATTAAGACGACAACAGTAATGGCTTTAAATGTAATATTTAAAACTTAATCAGTTTTTATGAGACTTACTGATTGACAAACGTCAGTCAAATATCACCGCTATGACTTGGAAAAATGGATGCTACTTCGTCGAGCAAGCACGTTTCATAAATCAATGAATTCACTTTACGGGGTCTTTTTAGTGAAAAATGTGAGTAGTTTTTTTTCTTATCTGGAATGCAACCATTCAGCTGTCCACCCATTTTCTGTCCTGCTTATCCTGTGGCATGGCACATATAAAGACAGACACGCATTCACACCGTCGCTGGGGGGGAAACGGAACCCACACTGCCTGCATGGACCCCAGGCCAATGTACCACAACGCCATGAGTGACTATCTGGAATGCATTGACTGTATTCCCATTGGGTACTTTGAGGTAAGTCAAACGTGTGTTGTAAATGTTTACAATGGCCTGCAGAGAGATGGATGAGCACATTAACGGGGAGTGCGGTTGTAAATCCTGCATCAGGATGATTCAAGTGCACGCTGACAACCCACGGACTGCAATTTCCACCAAAAACCTTTGCCAAAGAGTTTGTTTTTGAATCCAGCTGAACGCTAAAAGAGGCGGAAATGTCTTTCCCGTATGCATTTTCGTCTTCTTTTATTGCAATTTTCACCATAATAGGTTCCATTTCTGGTTCTTTGGTTTTTATCACTGGTACTCACAAAAATCAAAACAAAGAAAAAGCAAAATGCATTTGTGTGTACAGTATTCTTCCCTCGTGTTTTGACAGTTAACAACAGTATCGCAAAGTTACAAATAAAGACCCCCACTGGATGTTTTTGACTTCAGTGTGACACACAAAAAGGCTCCCCAAAAATCTTGTTCTCGATCTGTTTCGACAGTCGGCAATATGGGTACATTAGTGACACCCGCAGGACTTAAGCGGAATGGCAAAAAATACCCAAGACACACTCATCCCTCATGAAAGTGACGTGCTAAGCGTCAATCATCTTTCACTCAGCATGCTGCAAAATCCTGGCGACAGCAATCTGGGTCAGCCAAAAGACGGACAAGCTGCCCCCATGATGGTGGGTGGTCACCATTGGGGGTGAGGGCCCATTGGGGGCTTGGCGGGAAGGGGGGAGTCCATGTTCATCTTTACTTACTACTGCCACTGTGATGGAGAAAAACTACACATCCAACTATCTCCCCGCACCCCCCCCCACACACACACACACACATGCACACCAAACCACGGCCCCCCTCCAACTCCAACCACAGAACTCCACTCACATTCCAACTGATTTATTCACTACAGACCACAATACGTATGATATTTAATCCGATGTTGCAATGTGGCTATTGTGAAATGTACAGTGGGAACTCCATAAACACACTGAGACTTCGATGTGAGTAAAAATTAACATAAAAAAAAAAAAACATTCAACACTTTTAACCCTTTCAGGTACCTTGTAACCTGATAACATGAGAAGCTGTCCACAGGTTTTCATGGGTTTTAGAAGCTGCTAGCCTCCTCTCAAAAAGCGAAGGATAATTCACTGGTGGCTGAAGTGCTGCATCCGCAAGTGAAAATACAATGCATGCTTTTAATGTCTATAAGGGGGTTTTCTTTTTTTTTTCTTCACATTCTGGGTGAGTTGTTAAAGTCTAGCTTCATCACAATCCCTCTATAACAAAAGCAGAAAGGGGTATATGTCTGTGTATTTTTTTTTTAAATAACACGCTAGCTGGTATACATATTTATATATTTTCAATGCATTTATAATGGGTGACAATTACAGCCCTGCACCTATTCTGGAGGTCCACTGTATTTGTTTCTTACAATTCATGTTCCCAAGTCGCTCATATTTTGGTTTGCCACAGAAAGAAAAACTAAAACCGACCAAGGGATCACTCGTAATTTGAAAATTTAGCAAGTAGGGGCACTCACAACTCAAGGTACTGCTGTAGCGACCACTAATATGCAGTTAACCATGCCTGGGAACTTTTCTGTGGGGTCGGGGTGGGGCGGCGGGGGTCCACCCCTCTCACCTCCAAGAGTCAAAGATCAAGTCCTGTGAGAGACGAGACGAGGCTGGAGGATGAGATGAAATAAACAGAGGTGACGATGTAGTCGTAATCCCTCAGGTGCACACGCGCCGGGCGAGACGTCCGAGTAATGCCGGGCGAAGTGGCCGCTCATTTAAGATTACCGGCACTTCATTGGTGAGGATGAGCAGTTTGATAAAAAAAACTCCCGCTTCGGCACAGCTTGCCTGGATTAATGTCGAGCGATTGCTTTGAAACGTGTTGATGGATCTCTTCGTAGACAAGAACTCGACTGTAAACTTTTGCCCGTGCCAGACTTTTCCATGTAAAGCCGTGTCATGAATTTGTCAAGTTGGCCCACATTTTATCACCATAAAGAAGGACGGGTTGTCTCCATGTTTTATCTATTTTCAACCACTCTGCTAGAAGGAGCTGTCAATCATGCTTTGTGGGGAGGATTTTGTTTAAGTCAAACAAGATGGCAAGGGTGATAAAATCAGTACTGCTTCTTGTTCGGCGCTATCTCAACCACACATGCCGGCAAATCTGGCTAGCAAAATAATCCATCCATGATCTGAACCGTTTATTCTCACGAGGGTCGCTGGCGTGCTGGAGCTGATCCAAGCCGGCTGGTCGTCAGCCAAAGGTAGGGCACACAAAGACAAACAACCATACGCGCTCACAATCACACTTACGGAAAATTTGGAGTGTCCAATCAACCTGCCATGCATGTTTTTTGAATGTGGGAGGAAACCAGAGTACCCGTAGAAAAGCCACGCAGGCACGCGGAGAATGTGCAAACTCCACACAGAAAAGCCAGAACCCGGAATCGAACCCTTGCAAACCAGGCGTCCACGTCCTGCCTATTATAATCATCATCGTATTCTAAATAGCATTTTTCATAAAAATAAGTCACTACAAAATCGGTTCAAATTGAATCACACCCGAATAAGTTCAAAGAGGATTTTTTGAACGGCACTTTCGAACATGAAACATCTTCAAATCTTCCATGATGGGTTTTTACCATTACTATTTACTCTTCATCATTAGCAACTTTACAAGGCACTTTAAAAAAATAAAAGTAAATAAGGTTAAAAAAAAAAAAAAAAAAACGTATAACTCACGGACTACATATCGCATTTGTTGAAAAGACGGAATGAAAAATTGTGTTAATGTCCTTGAATCACACTTTTTAATTGATTTAAGTAGACTTAAAATAAAATAAATAATTGTTTAGCTTTTCGTAGAAGCAGTCGTAGCGTTACTAGTGGTGGTTGTAGTAAGATTATTCCTATTAAATTGCACTTCTCTGAACACATTTACAACAACGTGCTTTAGAAGACAAGTATTTTTTTTTTAAATAGTGGTTTACTAATGAACAAATATTTACATTTACTGCAGTCAAATTAAATTAAATTGCATTGACCTCACTACTTCACAATCCTGTTTCGACAATGTGGCCAAAACATTTCACTCACCAAAACACAGAGCGAGGTGGAAGCCCGTCACGATAATATTTTTGAGTTCCACGTTTCAATAATAGATTCAACGTGTTTCCCTAAATGACGAACCGTGTCAGAGATGACTGAGTAACATCTCTGGCTTTCGCTTACCGCAACTTAGCTCAACCTACGTGCAAAGATTTTTCGCACATGACGAACAACTGCGACAATGTTCAAACTGGGGAACTTTGTGCGCGGCGGCTTGTAAAAACGACGAGTTCAAGTGCAGCCTTCCCGCTTTGTTCTTTTGCGGGTTGAATGACGTGTAAGTGCAATCAGCTGTCGGGTATGAAAGAGCAAAAAAAAATCATAATAATAATAAAAATAAAGCGCCAGCGTGACTTCGCAGACTGCGTCGCTTCAAAACATGCTGGCAAGTCTTTCATGGGAGCCAGAAACCACACAGGGAGACACACACTTTACGGCAAAACGTCTTCACTAAAGAGGACAAGATGTATACATTATTAGCCGCTGACTCACTCGGCTTGATTCACAGTCTTCTACTTTTTTTCCGGTTTTGTTTGTTTTACAGAACACATGACTCACTCTGCTGTTGTTCGAGAAGATGGCCAGAGGAGAAAAGACCTCTCAGATGCTCAGATATACAGCGGAAACTCAAAAGGTCAAGCACATCCAGGACAGGGTGCCTGACCTGCAGTTTGCTCGAATTAATCCAGAAGAGGACGGTCACAAATCCCGAGTAAACTGCAGTAAGTTTTTTTTTCACAGAGGATAAAGAATATGTACATTTAATTATGCTTATTTTGTCAGCATTGTGTCAAAATATCCAAGCGTTATTAAGATTGCAACATTGTTGCTCATTTTTTTATTAATCAGTCGATGACGTTTTGCACTGTGTGTTAGCATCAAGCTAGCAGACTTGAAATGATCCGGTTATTTGGTTCAATGCACAATGTGTAATTCATTAGTTTTATGCTTTGTTTTTTTTCAGTTGCATATCACACATCGTTGAAAATCACGACAGTTGCAATCCGGTCCCAAAGGGAGCCTCGTTGACCGCATTGTTGCTCTGAAAACACAGAGGCTAACGACACACACTTGCGTAAGACTTGTTTCTCATGGCTCACCCAACACATAAAAAAATTTTTTTAAAAAATAAAAAAAGTCTCTAAGACACATTTTGACATGTTGAGGTCAAAACATAACAATAAGCACGGGATCATTGGGATAATTCTTTACACGTGGATTTTGGAGCGCATCTGTGGGAATTTTATTCAGAATAACATTTTTTCAGGATTAGAGAGCACTTCTGTTGGACCTGCTGGCTCACCATCTCGATTACAGGGCGTGCTCTTCCCCGAGCAAACTCACTCAAACCATGCCGGACCACAAGAGGGTCTTCCCCAAAATGCTACTGCGGAGATATAAAATTGTCTTAAACGGCGAAAACAGTTCATCCGCAAAGTTTTCGCTGTGCTTCCCTTTTACCAAATTGTGTTACTGCTACATATAGCAGTTTGCCTCTGTGATGTCAGCAGTGAAAAATGGCCGACGGATTATAGGGAGGGTGATGACGGACGGATGAGGTGAAGAGACACAAGACAGAAGATGTCTGCTTGACGCACACGGCGGTACGTCACGGTCAAACACGAACGTGTCGCAACGGTTACGTCGCCCAGAGAAAGGCGGGCGCGTTGGAACGATGCCTCGATGCGCAACAGATGGCGGCGATCTCCGCAGAACGAAGCGGGCCGGGCAGAGTCTGTCTTTCATCCCCGATTGGACTTGTTTTTGGAAGGGACTGCAAGGGTAAGATGAGCTGCAGAAAATATTTGCGCGGTGTAAATCATGCGGCGTGGGAGCGGCGCTATTCCTGATGCGCTTTACCTAATCTACAAAAAAAAATACCATGAATTACGAATTAACTCATCTCCGCGCGAGGTAAAGTGATTCCAAGGTGGACCCGCCCTACATTGCTCAGCCAAGGCGGTCTTCAAGCTGTCACGTTAGCGGGCACAGGCAGCGTGTGTAGCTCATTAGCTGACGTCATGTACTACAATGAAGACAAAATGTGTTCAAGCGGGTAAAGGCATTTTTTTTCAAATGTCAGAGACCCCACGCATGACAAGGACTCATTCGCAAAGTTGTGATCTTACTGATTTTACGATGTGCACCAACACGGCATACCACACACAAAACCATATCTCCACCGGGGTTCTTGAGAATTTTTTTATTTTATTTTTTTTTTTGGTGCATCGACTCATGACGGAAACGTCGACCAAATATAATGTCGCTAAGTCAAACTGGCAGTAGGGGCTGAATTTTTCAAAGGTGACGTGTTTTCTGGTGAGTCATCAAACTCGGCCCACATGTAATGACCAAAACAGAAATCTTTTTGCATCTACCGACTATCAAGGATTTGCTGCTCAAATTTGGAATCAATCAAACAAAAAAAATGTACGAGTGGTCGTCTAGATATTGTGAAAATGGCCACGTTGATACAAAATGGCGGAATTCCTGTTAGGATTTGTGATTCAATTCATTTTAGACAAAAATGAAAAGTTTTCTGGGCGACCCGGTGGACGAGTGGTTCGCGCGTTGACCTCACAGTGCAGAGGTGTCGGGGTTCGATTCCGGCACCGGCCTTCCTGTGTGGAGTTTGCATGTTCTCCCAGTGCTTGCGTGGGTTTTCTCCGGGTACTCCGGTTTCCTCCCACATTCCAAAAACATGCATGGCAAGCAGATTGACCATTCAAAATTGTCCCTAGGTGTGAGCGTGAGCACGGATGGTTGGTTGGCTACCGGTTCAGGGTGTCCCCCGAGGACGGCTGGGATAGGCTCCAGCACGCCCCGCGACCTTTGTGAGGGTCATAAAACGGATCAGAAAATGGATGGATGGATGAAAAGTTTTCTTGGGCTGAATTTTCCAAAGATTCCGGGAGGCGATACCAAGCCAATTTTGGAGAAAGAAGTCTGCCATCCCTACTCGACATAAATTTTTAGCCAGATAAACACTTATGCCAAATTTGGTTTGATTTGTATGGCTGAAAGATTATTTACCCCCTGATCGTGACAGCACTAAGTGTCTTTTTCACTGTAAATCTCTGAGCAGCTGTTGATTTATCAGAGAACTACTTTACTGCTCAGTTCAGGAGAAGGCTACACTTTCACGCTGCTGGAACCAGAAAATATTCATCATGGCCCATTTGTTTTTAGGCCTTGGATCTGGACTGGGCTTAGCATGAAGATAACTGGAAGCTGGAGGGAGAGGGGCTGGGGGGCGTGGGGGTGGGGTCACCTCGCCCACTTGAAAGTCTTCCAGCTCCTGACATATAAAAGTGACTTTTGGATAAACCTAAGGAGGAAAATGGTCTGGTTGTGTTTCCTTGAAAAGATTGTTTACCTCCCAGCTCGGAAAAGGCCAGACGACAGGAGCGAGCGTTGACGCCATCTTGGTGGAATGCGTGAGCCTGGATGCTCTGACACACGAAAGCGCGCACCATCTCACTGGAATGACGTCTGGCAAATCACGGCCAGGCCGTTTCACAACATTTACTGGAATCCGTGTCGAGAAAAAATTACCTTGTTCCTCAAGTTACCCACAGGGCTCCTCTTCACACTTATTTGACATTTAAGGACGGCAAGTGGCTGAGAGGGAGTGCGACGCTTCAAATATCCGGCCAACAACCTGCAAAATAGCAAAATACCTCATTCTGAGCGCCGAGTATGGCGTCAGCGACCTTCACAACAAGCAGCAGTTTGGAAAATTGTGAATAATTCTTTCAAAAAAAGAAAGTAAGGGCTTGATTCAAATTATTGTCAATTACCTTCAAACTAAATATAAATCAAAGACCCCGTTGTGTATTTCGCTAAAGAGCATTAACCTTGTCTTATGAAAGTCTGCTAGCTTAATGCTAAAATAGCATGTAAAACTGCATAGACTGGCTAATGGAACTAGCATCAATGCTGCCGTAATGATTAGCCTTTAAACCACAAATAACGGTGCTAGCAACTCGCGCAGACAACAACACTCACAGGGATTTATTCTTTGACGACTCCCATTATTGCAGTTTAGTTAAAATCGTTTTCTTCTCTGCTTCATCGTAAAATTTCTGTGTCGCATGTCTGTTTGTATTATACTGCTCCCTGGTGGCCGAGGCACGCGCAGCCGAATAAACAGCAGTACGCCCGTTGAATTATCACGATCACATAAACGGTTAAATTTTTCGCATTCTGACGAATTATGTTTTCATAATATGGTAGAGTCTCCTTTTTAGTCTTAAAACCTGTCACAAATGTGGGGGTTTTTTTTCCTGGTGTTTTTGTTGTATTGGTTTACGTAATTAAAGTAGAGAAGGTGAATCATTTCTTCGATTTTTACAAGTCCTTTTTTTCTGTACTCCTATTTAAGAACAGCGTGCGAGTACTTTTACCGCCACGGTATCCGGCCTCATCCAAAGTGTTCTTTCCGCTCTCAGACACGTAGATGAGATTGGATCCGGCGATTCTTGTGAACACGAGATGACAAGTAGGCTCATAAATAAACGCGCGCAAGAGCTTAACCGGTTGCGCAACAAAGACAAAGCGATGTAAGCGATGTCGGTATTAAAAGTGATCCACAAGCTGGAGGGAGCGAGGGCCGTATTTCAGGTTTCACTTCACAGATGGAAATGTGATTTTACTGGAAAATTATCCACAGTAATACGTGACAAATGCTTTGAATTGACTTAACATGGATATAGATAAGCTGAGGGCTGAGCAGGTGCATCGAGGGCATTTGGACGGTCCAGCGAAAAAAAAACGGTCTGGATTCTTGCAACAAAATATTTTCTGTGTATCCAGCAGCCAAATCGAGAGTCATGAAATAAAAGGAAGGATTGTTTAGCAAAGTTAAACAGAGTTTAGTTGAAGCTCGCGTCCAAAGCTTTCGCCCTCTGCATTATAGCTAAACCAAGTGTTTCATTTTATATCATTCCATATTTATTTACTTCTTACGACTCGCGCGCGCAAAAGTTAGTACAGTTGCTGCATCTACCTGGCTGGTGCCAAGGGCGGGGAGGAATCCGGGGTGGGACATCCTCCTCATGATTTCTAGCAGCTGCTGTGGCCGATCAAAGCATAGCGAGCGTGATTGCAAGTGTAAGCAGAGAAGGCTGCGCCCATGTCGGGATCGATCCACCTCGGGATGAAATAGCACGCCTGCCACTTGGCATTTGGAGGCCCCGGCTTGGATCTGCCCGTGTGCTGCTACAGCAAAATTCCTTTTAGAGGATTTGTTTTTTTTTTATTGGGCCTCACATTCAAAACACAGAAGGAAGTGTCCGACTGACCTAATTATAAACAGGCTGACCTCATGGGCGAGGGAGTCATGGTGACCCACTTCCACCAGTGTGGGTGTTAGTGAAGTGGAGAACTTGGGAGGCTGAGAATACCTGCAACAGCTGAACTCGCCAGTATGCTAAAAATCTGTGTGTGTGTGTGTGTGTGTGTGTGTGTGTGTGTGTGTGTGTGTGTGTGTGTGTGTGTGTGTGTGTGTGGAGGGGCACACTGAAAAATCATTGGTGTAGAACAGATTATGTATCCATCTACAGTCTTGGGAGAGTGACTAAAGTCTCATAGGATTTACTCAAGTAATATTTACGGAATTCTCGTGCAATTTACTGACATCTGGCAAGATTTACTGAAGCTTCTTTGCCAGATTTACAGAAGTCTGTCAAGATTGAAATCTCACGAGATGACAAAAAAATGTTGTCTCGCTAGATTACATATTTACCGAAGTCTTGCCAGGTTGACGAAAGTCTCCCAAGATTGAAATCTTAGAAAATTAGAGAAGGCTTTTAAGATTTACTGAAGTTGATAATATTTATCAAAGTTTGCCAAAATCGTTTTGCGAGATTTCCGGAAGTCGACCGAGCCGGAAAACTCGCCAAATTGTCTTTCAAGATTCGCTGAAGTCTTGCCTAATTTACTGAGGTCTCAACAAGAATGACTGTCGTCCCATAAAATTTTGGGAAGTCTCGGGAAGACTAAAATCCCACAGAATTAGGAAGATTTACTAAAAATATGCCAGATTTCGTGAAAGTCTTCTGATTTTTTATTTATTTTTTTTAATTTTCACAAGATTTACTGCCAGAATTAGTGAACTCTCTCAAAGTTTACAGACAGATTTTTGGAAGACTTTCTGCAGTTTCACCAGATTTGTGGTAGTGTTGTTAGATTTACTGCCAGGTGTAGGGAAGTCTCACAGATTTCATAAAATCTCACGAGATTTTATGAAGTCGTAAAAAAAAAAAATGACTGCCCTCCCACCAATTTTACTGCAATATTTTTTTTGAAGGCACGGGATTTTGCAAGGTTTACTGAAATCTCACAAAACATCGCGCCATATTTACCGAAATCTTGCAAAATTAACTAGACTTATAAAATCGAAATCTCCAGAGGATTTCCTGACAGATTTAGAAAACATCAAACCTGATTTAGCGGTCTCAAAAGATTTTCTGTGAGACGAAACGAAGTCTCACAAGATTTGCCGGTTTCACCAGATTTTCTGCCAGACTTAGTGACGTCTCACCCGAATTTGTCAAATCTCACCAGATTTATTGACTTTTCACAAGAGTGACTAAAAGTCTCGCCAGACTTACTGAGGTCTCGCCTTTGAACCTTTCTCCTTTCTAGTCAGACAAGCTCACGTCTGAACAGGAAGTTCAACTCCCACCACGGTAGGCCATGCGACCTCGTGAGATTTCACCTCTGGCCTCAACGCGCCCATTCGAACGGCCGGGTGTCAAAGAGCAAAGGCCGCTGACGTAAACACAAACGCCGTCCTTAATCTTGCGTCTGTCAACTCCTATTGTGTGTTTTGTTAAGGGACAGAAAGGAAGTGAACTGAGCTTGGGTATTAAACGGAGCAGCTCAGCATCCAACGTGCTGCCAAAAAAGCGGAAGAGAGCACCAGGCTGGCACACCTTCAGAGACCCTTTGAGACTTGGTTTTTTTTTTTCATTGAACGCAGCTTTTGTCGCAGCTCACAAAGCTCCTACTGTGTCACCGTCCACACTGGCTTCATGAGTGCACACATTTCCGAGCTTTCTACAAGTCATGTGAAGAGAAATTGCAATTTCAGGATATGGCGAGGAAAAAAATGTGTGCATCTCAAATTATGAATGAGATCAGGAATGGATTCGGAAAAAAATGCCAGACAAAAAAATAAAGAGAATTAAATGACTAGCAAAAAAAAAAAAAAAAAAAACCCCAAAAAACGTTGACTTGGCAAAAGACAAAACTTAGTTTGAGCCAATCACGAAAAGTCGTCACAAAACGAGTTCCACAAAGTTTTTTGCTTTCCCTCGAACTAAAAGGAGGCCAGAAGCTCACAGCACCTCGGAGCCTCGCTAGAAGCAGCTTATGTGTGTCATGAATCACTAAGTAGTAATATTTGGGACTTCTCACAGCCGTCAAACAGCTGAGGCTTAATTTCCTTCGGTTTGCCCTGCAGTGTCCAGGAAAGTGGGCTGGGTGAGTGAAAAGGACAGAAAAGCATTTAGAGCTGGTCTGGTTCAGAGCGTAGCTGCACGGACACTTCATCTTTAAAAACGGCCATTTTTCTTCATCTTTTGACACGTTTGTTTGCCAAAGGAAAGCCAACTTAAAAAAAAAAAACACACACACACACACACACACACAGACACACACACACACACACACACACACACACACACACACACACACACACGTTGGCCCACGCCTAAGCTGCTTCCTGGACATCACTCATAAGCGAGGGTCAGGATGAGAGAGTGGGACTGGTGTTTGAGAAAATAACTGCTGAATAAGGGCTTTTCCGTCACTACCGCTGCAGCTATGGCCCTCTTGACCGTGTTTGTGCATACGCACACACTCACGCAGATAGAAACGCAGTCAGTCGTCTGCAAACGTGGTGCCTGCTAATGAAGTGCAAAATCGCACCGTAATCTACATTTGTGTGTTTGTGCGCATGCGTGTGTATATGTGCACTTTGTACTGTATGTGCCAATACTACGAATAAAGTTTGATTAACGTGAGAAAATGTGCAATTGGGTAATGTTGCTGTGGAAATTTTTTTTGGAAACCTATATTACATCCATCCATTCATTTTCAGATCCGCTTTATCCTCACAAGGGTCATGGGGGGGGGGGGGGGCGGGGGCCTATCCTAGCCGTCTTCGGGTAGTAGGCGGGGGACACCCTGAACCGGTTGCCAGAATGAAGTCGTAAAAACATGACAAAAAATACATAGAATTCTGAAACATTTTATGAAAAATTGTGTGAAATATTTTTGATAACACGAATAAAGTTGAGAATAATGTATAAGAACAAAAAAATCTCAGTCACATGAGGAAAAGTCATATTGTAAGGCGAAGTTGTAAAAGTGTCAAAATAAGTCATATAATAATTTTGAAAATGTCATCATAGCCCCCAAAAAATTTGACATTTTGCAAAAACAAAAGTCAATTTTAGAAGAATGTAGCCACATAAGAAAAACGGAAGTACCGGTAATGTTATGAGAATGAAGTTGTCATTTTCAAAGAAAAACGCAGTAAAATGACAAGACTAAAGTGGAAATTATAAATTAAGGGATTACATTTATGATGTATAAATGTGCCCCTAAAAAAAATATCTGAATATTACAGGAATAAATTGTACCAATATGGACAGAAGTCAGACGGCTACAAAGCAGTTACATCATAGCTAGTTTCATTAGCCCGGCTACGGTGTTTTGCATTGTGTGCTAGCTCCAAGCAAGTGGACTTTCATCAGACACAAAATCTGTAACTGCCAAAAAACAAACAAAAAAAAAGTCTTAAAAGTACAAGAGTAAATGTTTTTTATGGTAACTGTAACTTGTAATGTAACTTTCTTTTCCTTTTGCATGCCCCGGTTACTGCTTGGCGAGTTGGGATGGGGCGTTGATGTGTCTCCAAAATAATCCACAGGTGCGCTGCCGGACACGAGGCCATTGTCTACCATCTCCACTGTCCGCGTACTTTCCAACTTGTAAAATTCAAGTTTCGAAGTATTTTAAGACAAGGACAACAGTTACGAGACCCGAGTGTGTGTGTGTGTGTGTGTGTGTGTGTGTGTGTGTGTTTTAGCTGTCTTCGATGCGACTCGCGTGGAAACTGAACCAAAACACATAATTGTGATGCTTCGACTTGGACCCCCCCCCC